AAAATGGCTGCCGGTACCATGGAAACAGCAGAACAATGGTTGGGGGCCGTTTTGGCGAGTTTTGTGTTAGCATCCTAACACAGGATTACTTGTTATTATTATTCTTCGTCTTCCGCCGCTTTTTTGAATGAACTTGTCCGCACCATTTCTCCAAAACCACTAGTTAGATTTACTTAAGGATTCACAATATGTTAGATTAACATGTTTAGTGGTGCAATCAGGGTTTCGTTTGTGCATTGAGGTCTAAAAAAGGGTACTTTGAGGGGCCAACAGAAGGGAGGGGTTTACTATAGAACCCTATGGGATTTTTTTTTTTTTTTTTCAAATGATTATAACTTGAAAACTATTAGTGATAGACACAATCTTTATAATTGAAAATGTTCTACATGATAAAGCACATCAAATGAAATAAGGGTTTCGTCCCCAGGGGTCACCCCCACCCCTGCCATTTGACAAAGTTCTAATATCTTGTAAGTGGTCAAGATCCCTACCCCTAAACCATATATATTCTTGTTTGTCATGATACAGTCCATCAAATGAAATAAAGGGTAAGTCCCCAGAGGTCACCCCCACCCCCTTCCATTTGACCAAGTTCTAATATCTTGTAAGTGGTCAAGATCCCCACCCCTAAACCACATATATTCTGGTTTGTCATGATACAGCACATCAAATGAAATAAAGGGTAAGTCCCCAGGTGTCACCCCCACCCCCTGCCACTTTACAAAGTTCTAATATCTTGTAAGTGGTCGAGATCCCCACCTTTAAACCATATATATTCCGGTTAGTCATGATACTGCACATAAAATAAAGTAAAGTATTAGTCCCCAGGGGTCACCCCCACCCCCTGCCATTTGAGAAAGTTCTAATATCTTGTAAATGGTTGAGTTCCCCTCCCCTAAACCATATATATTCTGGTTAGTCATTATACAGCACATCAGATGAAATACAGTATTAGTCCCAAGGGGTCACCACCCACCCCCTGCCATTTGAGAAAGTTTTAATATCTTGTAAATGGTTGAGATCCCCACCCCTAAACCATATACATTCTTGTTTATCATGATACAGTCCATCAAATGAAATAAAGGGTAAGTCCCCAGGGGTCAACCCCTACCTCTGCCATTTGACAAAGTTCTAATATCTTGTAAATGGTCGAGATCCCCACCCCTAAACCATATATATTCTGGTTAGTCATGATACAGCACATCAAATGAAATAATGTATTAGTCCCCAGGGGTCACCCCCACCCCCTGCCATTTGAGAAAGTTTTAATATCTTGTAAATGGTCGAGATCCCCACCCCTAAACCATATATATTCCTATTCATCATGTCAAGAACATTTGAATAATATACAGGATCAGTCCCCAGGGATCACCCCCACCCCCTGAAATTTAAGAAAGTTCTAATATCTTGTAAATGGTTGAGATCCCCACCCCTAAACCATATATATTCCTGTGCGTCATGTCACAAAGATTCGAAAGATATATAGGGTCAGTCCCCAGGGGTCCCCCACCCCAATGATTTAATATCTTGTAAATGGTCGAGATCCCCACCCCTAAACCATCTATATTCTGGTTTGTCATGCCAATATGATTTGAATGATATACAGGGTCAGTCCCCAGGCATCACTAATGCATATAACTTTACTGGACCAAACCAATTTTCACTGGATTTTGCCCAATGTCAGGCGACCCTGGGAATGACGAATTATGGGAGCTTCGTTTGGGAGACTTCGTAACAGCATCCTGTTACAATCATTTCTTGTTAATATTACTTTTACTGTTTGGTCTGTTTTTGGTGATATACAATTTGACGTGTCTCTGTACTTATGCATCCCGTCATTGTGTTGTTTGTATTATTTTTCATTTTTACTTGTGTGCTTTGTCCGTGTGACTTTTAATGTTTCTTTGATACATATGACGTGTCTCTGTACTTTAAACATCCCGCCATTGTGTTATTGTTCTATTATAATTTTGCATACGTTGAACGACAAAATTATTTTATATCTCTACCTGTGTGACGTTTACATTCTGACGTCAAACACGCGATTCTACGCCAGAGTTGATGTTAAAATTACGATTCGGTTCCAGTGCTTAAAATCCCTCGATCCTTTATGGGTTGATTTGGCATACATAAATAAAATACAAAAATAAGTAAGCAAAAACGAGGTTGTTAAATGTGATATATGCTTTTTGTTCTTCTTTGTAAAATATTTGTTTGTTTTTGTTGTGATTAAGATTGTGACACGGTGTTGACTGCTGTACCCCTATTTTGACATTTTTACCTATTATGTCTGTTTGTTTTATTCACGCAACGTTGTCAATATAATTGAATTTGATGCGACTGTCATACAAGTGAGAGGTTTAGCGCTATAAAACCAGTTTCAATCCACCATTTTCTACATTAGAAACTGCCTGTACCAAGTCAGCAGAATCCCACCCCTGGATTCGCTAATACAAGTGATGTATTTGGCGAAAATTAATTGTCCGAACTATGTGACTTCACTGCAATATGGTCAGACTTCATTGTCATGACAAAATCATATTTACATACTGACATAGTCTAATTCGAACCAGACAATAAACTAAATGACATATTTACATGCAATTTACCGGTAATTATTCGTTACCTTCAAGATTACGCTACACTGACACTCTGAATTTCATTCAAATAATATTGTGGGGTCAATTCTGGGTTGATTTTAACGAGTATGATACGACTAGAAGCATAATTTAGTTTATTTGTTTTTTTTTTTTAATTTCTGTTGAAATAGATACGAGCGGTATTATGTACCCGCTCCTGCGTGAGGCTAAAACAAAAACAATTGCAGACTTACACACAATAGGATACTAAGATAGATCTAAGATTTCTGATTGGAGTCAGCTAATTTCTTTGAAATTTTGACATAGCACAGGAATACTTGTTTGGGTTCATGATAGACCGCATTAAGTCATTAAAATGATGATTTCTCTTTCATGTGCCCATTTCCCGTTCTTGGAGTAGGGGAGATAACTTGCGTAACTAACGACGCACGTTTTGTATCCCGAATTCCGCTAGAGGCGTGCAATTACGTATACTTCGTCTTTTAAGATTACGTCACATAGTAACGTTTGCTATGATGACGTTGTTGATGTTCCAATTGGGGTAAAAAATGTAGTATGTACCCCAGCAGTCTCCTGAATATATACTGACATCTCCGTGTATACAATTGTATATGTCTTATTATAGATGAAAACAAAAAAATATGAAAGTCTTTGTTTCATTTATGACCTTATTTCAATTCATAAGTCAAGCGGGCGATTCTGTATATACAAAAATGAATTATTTACTAGAGTGGGTGGCGCATATTCGCCGTGGACACATTTTCGCCGTTTTTGCTATTTTTTCTGTAAATTTCGTGTGCCTTTACCCAATACTTGCCTAAAAAGATGCTAAACGCTGTTTGTAATGTTCGAACTGTTGATATTCCTCTTTACCCCATTTCCAATGTTATTCGCACATATAAATAAATACGCTGGTGTTTTTGAACGATTTTGGCAATTATGTAAGATTTATATGGCACGCATGCGCAGTCATAAAGTAAATATCTGTAAATAATCGTATAGGAATGATCTCTCAAGCTAATTCATGTAATTGCAAACAATTGTTTTTATAATATACAAGGATAATGAGGATGGTCATATCATACATTGCGGCGAAAATGTGTCCCCCATGGTACAAGAACAACTTGATTTCCTCTTGAGTTTGCGTTCATTTTTAAAACATTTAACCAATGTTTTGAAGAGAATTCCTTTATCAAACATTTTTTTCATATAGTAATCTTTCTGAAACCTACATAAAAAGTTTCAAATATTCGAATGTAGGTCGGATGTAGGTGGAAATGAACGAATTTTGTGGCGAATATGCGCCACCCACTCTATAGATATTACATGAATAAAAAAGATCTACGTTGACATATTTCGAAGACTATAAAACAAAAATAGTAGACACTATTCATCGTTAAAAGAGAAATGCTCAGCACTAAATATAGTACTTGATTCCAAATGTCGTTTTTGTTTTTCTTTTTTTATATCAAAAACCAAAAACGAAAACATTTTTGTTTTTTCGAAAAACAAAAACGAAAATACTATTTTTTAGTTTTTTGTTTTATGAAATTTAAAATTGGAAACACTTTCGTTTTTTGTTTTTGATATATCAAAACGAAAAAACGAATGGACGTAAATATACATGGACTCGTTTTCTTCTTACAAAAAGTATTCTAGTTTTTCTACACATTATTTGAGTAATTATCACTTATACGGCGATGTTAAAAAAAATCGAATCAAACCAAACATGTATTATTTTTGTTAAAACAGTCTTAAAAATAAAATAAAACACATTCCATTAAAGAATTGGACCTATGTTTTTTCTGCAATTTTAAAATACAAGATGGCGGAAGACACCCGATCTCTCTTTTAAAATAAATTTTAGCTTAATGTCCTATAAACTGAGATTTCTCATTAAGGAAATCATTTTACACTATTTAAATCCACTAAGTATGATTTAAAAGGGGAGAGGATCAACATACAAGTTCAACCTTGTAAAAGAAAGGCGAAAAGTACCAAAGTGACATTCAAACTCATAAGTCGAAAATAAACTGACAACGCCATTGCAAAAATAGAAAATGACAAAAAGACAAAAATCAGTATACAAAATAAAACATAGAAAACTAAAAACTGAGCAGCACAAACCCCACAAAAAAACAGGGGTCGCGGATCTCATGTGCTCCGGAAGGGTAGGCAGATCCAGCTCCTAATGTGCAACATAGTTACACATTCAGCTGTCAGTCAAAAGTCATTAATCTCTTCAGTGCTTTTCTAATATCATATTTTATGTTATTATTTAAAGGGATTTTGGTGCTGCTGATTTTTTTCTAAGTAAAGCATGCCTGTATGATAATTAACTGCAAAAGTTATTAACCTGTAGCATTCCACACCACATTTGTTTACTTTTATTTTTATTACCTTTCCTCCCAGGTATTGTATCTAAATGTTCTTGTATTAAAAAGCACGACCGTTCTTCTGTTGGATACGACATTTGGTCTTTTGTGTATGTTGGTTTACCAATGGATACATAAAAACAGCCTAAAACTGAAATAATACTAGTTGTTGATTATATGAGATGATAAATGTCAAATGTTTTTTAACTTAAATACTGTAAAAGAGATACACGTAGGTTGAAAAACATATACCATGAACCTGTCCATTATTTCTCTTACTTAAATTATTGTCCTGATCTGTTTTCCTAAGTATAACGCTGTTCCAAGTTAACATATAATTGGTGATCGAAATGAAAACCAAAGTAAGATTTATCTTCTTGTCAATAAAGGGGTATAAAGAAACAAATTAATTCATCGCAATGTCTAATTATGAATCATAGAGTCTCCCACAACCAAAAGAATATTTGAGATAAAGGAAAGCAAGGATATATGGATGTAAACATAAATTCATAGATAAGTAAATATGATATAAATAATTTGAATTCTCTGATGTTAACAGTGTTATACAAATAAACCTTTTATTTTCAATTAAACATTAGAGGGGCATTTATATTTAGCTACGAGATATAACAAAAAAACAAAATATGATTTTTTTTTTTTTTTCAATCATTAATGAAAATGAAATAGTGAAACAATAATTCTCTTTTAGAAGTCAGTTTGGTTCAATTTTGTCAAAATAAGCTTAGAAACATCGATGATGAATTATTCACTTGCTAGTAAATAATTCGACCTCATTCAATCCGTATTCATGTGACCTTCAATTTAACCCCTTAGCTAGAGATAGGTTACGCATGAATTGTGCGTGTTCAGTTATTAAAAGGAAAAGAATGTCAACATTGAAATTGAAACAAAGGTAAATAAAATTGAGAATGGAAATGGGGAATGTGTCAAAGAGACAACAACCCGACCAAAGAGCAGAAAATAGCCGAAGGCCACCAACGGGTCTTCAACACAACGAGAAAATCCCGCACCCGGAGGCGGGCTTCAGCTGGCCTCTGAACAAAAATGTGTACTAGTTCAATGAAAATGGACGCCATACTAAACTCCAAAACATTGAATGAACTAAAATTAAAAATCATACAAGACTAACAAAGGCCAGAGGCTCCTGACTTTGGACAGGCGCAAAAACACACAGCAATACGCACAGTAAAACTCCGTTTAAAAGAAGTTCGTGTCTGATGTCAGAATAAGGAACAAAAGAAACTAAGCAAAATGACAATGATACATAAATTAACAAAGGACTACTAGCAGTTACTTACATGCCAGCTCCAGACCTCAATTAAACTGATTGAAAGATTATGTCTTCATCATATGAAAATCAAACACAATCCCTCCCGTTAGAGGTTTAGTATCATACCATCATAAAATATATGAGAACATAACCCGTATCATGCCAACAACTGGTTTTAGAATAAATGTGTTTATTTCCGATTCAAAGACCCTATGAGTGAATCAATATTAATACCAAAATATGCCTTCTTTAATGACCTGACAACAGTATCGTAACTATATCCCTTCTGAATAAGTCTGTTTAAAGGTTTGGTTAGCTTTTGAGGTGAATGCCGACATTTTTGTGCTTTGTAAATAATATTACCATAAAGGATTTGATGTGAAATACCTGAACGTATAAGGTCCGTGTATATTTGCGTCCATTCGTTTTTCGTTTTGAAATATCAAAAACAAAAAACAAAAAACGAAAGTGTTTTCATTTTCGTTTTTGATTTTTAAAAAAACCAAAATGAAAAACAAAAGTGTTTTCGTTTTTCATTTTTGATTTTAAGGAAACGAAAACGGAAAACGGAAGTGTTTTCATTTTTCGTTTTTGATTTTTCAAAAACCTAAATTAATATTAAAAGTGTTTTTGTTTTTCGCTTTAGATTCCTCTAAACAAAAAAACAATCGACATAAGCATTCAATTTCTACATTTTGCTCTATTTAATTCTCGTTTTACGTTTATACAATGCTTTCCTTTCCGTTTTTTTTAATCTTTATTTCCTTTCCTATTTGATAGCCATTGACAGCCGGTGAATATAAAATTGAATGTAGACAAAATAGACCGCATGACTTATTATTTGAACGAAGGTTATTAATGAATCAAAGACTTTCAAATTTCCTTGTTTTTATCTATAATGAAATATAAAATTATTATATTTAAATATTAAATGAATCACAAATTTAAATAATACAATGAAATATTATATAAAGATGGTAAAAATACGATTGATTTACAACATCACATTAACAAGGGAGGTTACTACTTATCTGATAAGAAAACTACAGCGATTATCAGATCAATAGTATTTAAATCGGAGATAATGCCGACGAATGGAAAGATTTCATCAATCTGAACCCTAAAGAGATGTGGGATGTGGTACTATGAATCTAAGTAAACTTTAAGATTGATAGACTTTTTGTAGATGTTTATATCTATTTTATAGAGTTGTGGTTTGGTTAAATATTTTATTTTTGTTTATTCAGTTTCACGATAAATACTTAAACGTTGCCGAAATCTTTCCAAAATTTTCTGGTTTAGACTATCTACAGACTCTTTAGGCGTTTATAATTTTGTAAATCTGTTTAATAATTACCAATTAAACTGTTAGAACCTTAGAGAACATACATTGGGTTGTGATACGTGTACTTAGAGTTTAGTTAAAGATTGGTATACTTTTTAATAGAGGCTCTAAAGAGCCGGTGTTGCTCACCTTGGTCTATATAATGTACATATTCAACAAAGGACATACATAGAAGACGAGAATAGAATGCATGACAAACATATCTGTTTTGTTAATCTTGTATTGCTGATCCTTTGGTTTGCTTAGTTTCTCTCTATCTTCTCTGGTTTTTGCTCAAAACACAAAAGAGGGTATGAAAGTGACTTGTTAGTATAGATATTGCCTTATCGGTCATTTTTGTGATTTAAAGTTTCTATTTATCTATTTTAATTTTTATCATGTAAAGCAAAACATGATAAAATCGTCATTAAACAATCTAATTAAAATATAGATCTCGGATTTCGTTATACTACGTTATACTATGTAGTATAACGTAGTATAACGAAATCCGAGATCTATATTTTAATTAGATTGGTCATTAAAGGGCAATAATTCCAAGGAGACGTCGGACGATTTCCTCAATATTGTTTTAACTGTAGATCTTGTGTTGCTGATCATTTTTGCTTACTAAAGTTTCTATCTATCTATTATAATTTTTAAGATATACATTTGTAAGGCAAAAACGCAAAAAAAAAAATGGTAAAAGTCATCATCCAAGGGCAATAACTTTAATAAGGAGTCGGCTGACGATTTCGACAATTGAACTTATTTGTAGAACTTGACTTGCTTATCATTTTTGCATTTTTTTGTTTTTCTGTATATATTATAGTTTTCAAGATAATAGGAAAAAATGAAAAAAAAATAGTAAAATTTGTCATTTAAGGGCAATAACTCCTTTAAGAAGTCGTCTAACAATTTTGACATGTATGGACATTAGAGCTCAACATTCTGAACATTTTTGCTCATGTCAAAACATAGACAAAACTTGCATTTTTACCGTATGTTCTATTCTAGCCATGGCGGCCATGTTGGCTTGCAGGCCGGGTCATCGGACATATTGTGGCAAAGTTAGTTTAAATTTGGCCAAGTAGTTTTAGAGGAGAAGATTTTTTTTTAAGTTAAAAACGGCCATGGTGTGAATAAAATTCGGTGGAAAATTGGCCATTAGTCTTCCTTTTAAAAATTATTTACAATTATTTAATGCGTTCTTTTTGTACAGTAGATACGTGTTAAGAACATAGCGACAGCAAATATATACGGAAGCGTATATGGTCCTCGTCTTAGCTTAATATGTATACAAATTATATAAGTTAATTTAAAATGGAGTAAAAGAACGACAATAAAAATGGTAAAACTGTTGTTTTTTAACTAGTTTAGCTAAAGTTAAGAATTAGAATTGTGTTTTTTTTTTTGCAGAACATGTTCTGATTATGTGTCATGTATGGATACCCTATATCGTTTCTTTCTATCATGGACGTATAAAGTCATTGTGAGAAAATGAAAGAAACGTTATAAATAATGCATATGCTTTATTGGGGTTCATTTCTGTACAAGGTTTAGAGTTTAAGTGTGCTATTAGCATTAAAGATGAAATACTAGTATAGTTGTGAAGTCTTTTCATTTAACGTAAAATTAATCATATTTAGCTACATGACGGTGGACATTCTGCATGTATTAGCTTTTAAAATATAAAAAAGAAGATGTGGTATGATTGCCAATGAGACAACTCTCCACAAGAGACCAAATGACACGGAAATTAACAACTATAGGTCAGCGTACGGCCTTCAATAATGAGCAAAGCCCATACCGTATATGCAGTTATAAAAGGCCCCGAAATGACAAATGTAAAAAAATTCAAACGAGAAAACTAACGGCCTTATTTATGTACAAAAAATGAACGAAAAACAAATATGTAACTTTTTTCTGCAGCGTTCTTTTCAAAAGTAAATTATGCATGACATGTTCCCTTGGTGCGGTCTGAAGTAAAATTACAATGTATATTAACCCCTCTTCATCAGGTACTAGGTATTTTAATCAAATTATAAATACTAGTATGTATACAATGTGCGTCTAACTTCCACTTTGCCATGCACCAATGTCCCTTAGTGGTTTTGCAGTTAAATTACATATCCAAATGAATTGCAAATATAAATAAAATGCTCAGCGGGGCGCAGAATGATACGACCGCAGATCTCGAACCATGAATAGTTGAGACAAGTATGGACACTAAATTCAAGCTTGATACAGCTCTGAATTTGATTTTGATTAAATATTTGACACAGCACAGGTTTTTGACACAGAATAAATGTGGTCAAGACCTGAAAAATTTGAAATTGGACTTTTATAAAATAAGGCAATGAGGTATAAGGAAGTGAATTTTGGAGCACATTTAATCCCTTTTTAGCAAAATTTAAATCTGGAAACCAGATAACATTAGATAAAATTTATTCGAATTGAAACTTGTTTTAAATTTATTCTGGGTGTGCACAAAAAAACCCACAAATTTTGCAGCCTTATCCGAACTTGGTCGGTTTCCACT